AGAAAGAAAGAAAGAAAGAAAGAAAGAAAGAAAGAAAGAAAGAAAGAAAGAAAGAAAGAAAGAAAGAAAGAAAGAAAGAAAGAAAGAGTATACAAAGTTGTCAGAAAAAAGTGATGGGGAGATATGGGAGGTGTTAGAGGGGAGAGAATGGGTTTGGATTTGATCAAAACACCTTATATGCATGTATAAAATTCTCAATAAAGTTTTATTCAAAGTTAAATTAAAAAAAAAAAAGTCTGATGGCCAGGCGTGGTGGCACACACCTTTAGTCTGAGCACTCAGGAGGCAGATACAGGCAGGTGTCTCTGAGTTCCAGGTCAGCCTGGTCCACATAGTGAGTTCCAGGCCAGCTGGGGCTACAGGAAGACCCTGTCTCAAAAAGACCAAAAATAAATAAATAAATAAATAAATAAATAAATAAATAAATCTGGAACATCCCACACAGGGGGCAACAAGCTCTCTCCCAGTTCTGATGACTCTCAAGACAGTATCTTCTAACAGCAGGATACAGTATGAGGTACAGCTGTCATTTCACCCGACAGTGACAGCAGCTGTCTCTGTTCTCTCCTCACAGGCTCTTCTGCAAACTGGGCAAGACACCTGCCCTACAGGAGCAAAGGATGCTTGGGCAGACTCACAGGACTATAGATGCCTGGCCAGCAGAACAGGCAAGCACAGGTTCATCAGTGTCCACCTGGGACTTGAGCAAAGACAGCCCTCAAGAGGGCATCTGCCAGGACATAATGCCATCATTTCAAGTCCTGGTGCCAAGAGGTCTGCCCCATCTCGGGATACTAATGAGACAGCAGGGATGTCATACCGCAAACAGCCCTTACCAGGCGCCTACGTCCCCTCTGCTGTCTGTGGTATAGTCGCTCATGGAGTTCAGCAGAGCGGCATAGACCTCAGCAATGTTCTCTCTGCATACAACTTCATCAGGTGGTCCCTCTGAGTTCACACCAACAGTCTGGCAAATTCTGAAATTAAAATGTATGTCTGTGAGCCTGTTCTTCACACCACAATGGGCTGGTGCATTTTCCTTCAGCCCAGGAGACTCAAGGACAACTCAGGGGCCCAAGGTACCCTTTCCACCACAGGTGAGGATGATACTCAGTCACAGTCACATCCCCAGGTGGCTGGTCCTTCCTCCCTTCCACCCTGACAGAAGGGTTCAGCTTCTATGAGAAGCCAGGGGATGAATGGGCTTACAGGACCACAGGGACCTAGAAGAGACAGGCAGCCCCACACACGGCCTTTATAGGCCAAGGTCGACAAGACACAAGCTGCAAGCACTGCCCCTCAGCCTCAAGTTGAGGCACAATCTCAAGTCTTTATTCAGTTTTAAATATTTATTCCTGTACTTGCAGTACTGAGGTTAGAACTCAGGGCCTCACTATGCTAACTAAGCACCCTGCTACCAGACTGTTCTCTGGACCCCCATGATGCTTTGGTTTGTGCTTGGTTTGAGACCAGGCCTCACAGTCTTGCCAGGGCTAGCCTCAAACCACTGTTCCCCAGTTTCTGAGGCAGTTTTTCAAGTAAGGTGCAACCTCATGGCAGGTCTAGTACAGCTGTAGCTGTAACATACACCTGTCACTAAGCCTCCCAGAGCTGGAAATGTTCCCTGGCAGTTCCTGAAGGGGAAGAAACTAGAAAACAAGAAGTAACAAAACACTTCTACACATCTGCTCTGTGATAGCCCAATAACCCATGCTATGCTTGTTGATGCTGGGCCGCTGGGCTAGAGGCTTACCTCGAGATTGCCTTCAAGCTGTCCCTCCTGGCCTCAGCAAAGCTCACATCCTTGGGAGAGGTGCAGGTGACTGTTTTCAGACCTGAGAGAACCTGAGGACAGCAGAATCCCTAGATAAGCATTAGCCATGAAACAAACATACTTGTTTGGGTTTTGTTTTTATTTTTTAAAATATTTTATTTTTTTAAAATATTTATTATAGTTTTATGTTATGAGTGTATTGCCTGCATGTATGTGAGTGCGCCTGTGTTGTGCAATGCCCGCGGAGGATGGAAGAGGCTGTCAGATCCCCTGGAACTGGAGTGAAGGATGGTGCATAGCTGCCATGTGAGTGCTGGGGATCAAACCCGGGTCCTCTGCAAGAGCAGTCAGTGCTCTCAACCACTGAGCCATCTCTCCAGCCCCATTATTTATTATTTTTATTTTATATGTATGCGTGTATTGCCTCCATGTAGGTAAGTGCACCCGTGTTGTGCAATGCCCGCGGAGGATGGAAGAGGCTGTCAGATCCCCTGGAACTGGAGTTACGGACAGTTGTTAGCTGCCATGTGGGTGCTGGGATTCAAACCCAGGTCTTCTGCAAGAACAGTCAGTGTTCTTAACTGCTGAGCCATCTCTCCAGCCCCACCTGCTTGGTTTTTAGACAGTCTCCGTAAGTAGCCCAGACTGGCCTTGAACTCAAGATCTCCTGTCTCACCCTCCCCAGTTCTAGGATTACAAGTGTGTACCACCATGCCTGACTGTAAACTCACTTCTGCTACAGGTAGAGATGTGATTCTGGGCCACAGGATACAGTCCATGGGTAGGGCTTGCTGGGTAGCTCACAGGAGCCACCTCTAACACAAGACAGCATGTACTGGTTTAGCTTAGGAAGGACACACCAGACGGGCCCCACCTTGCATCCTCCCCCCTACTGCACCCCAGCCCACCCCACCAGGGACCTGACCTCACTCCACAGGATCTCCCTGTGTATTGTTCAGACCTGGGACAGGGGGCATTCTGGCTCTCAGCAACTACTTTTTCTGTCTGTGTGTGTGCAGGTGTGCACATACCACAGCAGGTGGAAGACGGAGGACCGCTTTGTGGAGTTGGTCTCTGCCTTTTCACAGGTCCCAGGCATTGCGCTCGAGTCACCAGCTGTCCAGCAGGTGCTTTTACTCACTGAGACACCTTGCAGGCCCTTCCTGAACTGACAATTCAGTTCCCAAACCCACTTTGTGCTTACCCACATTTTAAGGGGATTAACTCCAGGGTGAATCTGTCAGTGCAACAGCTGTACCAGGCCTGCCTGTTACGAGGGTGGAGAGGCCCACCCAGCACACCGTCAAAAGCTGTCTGAGCTCTGGTCCCACAGGAGGGACCACTGAACTGTGGAGATCCTGTCACTTCACCGTGGCTTGTGTGGTAAGCATCGGGGGCAGACAACAGCAAGGACATCTACAGAAAGGGTGGCAGAGCCAGGCCTGGTGTTTCAGCTCAGGGAGGAAAGTTGCATGAGCTTGATGGACCAGGTAGGTAAAAGCAGAAGAAATATTGTTCCCAGGGTCAGGCTGGTGAATGCCCACGGCTTAGACAAGGACAGGTGATCACAGGATGCTGAGAGGGGATGGGGCAAGCCTTATCAGAGCAGACAGAGTAATGTGAGAAGTGACACTGAGGGAGGTGGAGGCACCTACCCTGGGGGTGAGGATCTTGAGGCAAAGAATGGACAAGCATCTGCTTCTTGAGGCTTTCAGGGATGCCCTGGTGGGGCACTAGGGGTCTCAAAAGGGAGCAAAATGCCAACACATGATGTGTCTTAAAGAGTTGGCAGAGGTGCACAGGACACCAGGCTGAGACATGGGGCTGGCAGCCTCTGCCCATAGACAGCCTTGCCTCCCACCATGGCCACAGACAAGGTGCAGGGCTCCAGGTCAATATGCAAAGGTAAGTGTGTTCCCATCCAGGCAGCAACAGCTCCTTCAGAGGGTGCCTTCCCCTATAAAGCCAAGCACAGATCTCCAGTGTGTCTTGCAAGAGTAGGTTAGCCAACATGCTGGGGTTCAGGCCCATCAGCCACTCTCCTGCATGGCCACCATTGCCAGGAATTCCTTCCCCTCACAGAGGCATGCAGAGTGGGCATCGGTCGTGTGGCCCGCTCCTCGCACCTGCACCCACTCTGCTCTCAGCCTCACCTGCTGCAGATGGCCCCTGAGAAGGAAGTCTGGGAGGGCACCCAGGGCTGAGGAGAAGCCACAGCGCGTCATCTCCTCTGGGCTCCGGAGCTCAGCGAGGTACTGCGGGATCAGCTTCTCTGGAAAGAAGGGAGGACACTGAAGAAAGGGCCGTTGTCCAGTGCCACCCCTCAGAAACATGAGCCAGGGCAGTAGGCAAGCAGGGGCAACGCTCTGAAACAAACATGTCTTCAAAGTGATACATTAGTAAGATATAAAAGAATTTATGCAGGCGTTTTTTAAGGTTTTTGTACGTTTTTTTTTCATTTTGTGCTTGTTTTGTTTGTGACAGAATCTCCCTATTTAAACCAGGCTGACCTTGAACTCGCAATCCTCTGGTCTCCCGGGGACCTTACGCTATGACTTGGAATAGAGACATACTTCTGGGCCTCGCTTCCATGAGCGGTTTCAGCTGTATGGTTTCCTTCTCAGGAGAATAGAGTTGATGCATTCACAGTTCTCATCATGTAAATGCTTATGATAAAACATGATGTCTAGGGGCTGGAGAGATGGCTCAGCAGTTAAGAACACTGGTTGTTCTTGAAGAAGACCCGGGTTCGAATCCCAACACCCACATGGCAGCTAACAACTGTCCGTAACTGCAGTTTCAGGGAATCCGACAGCCTCTTCTGTCCTCCGCGGGCATTGCACGACATGGGTGCACTTACCTACATGCAGACGATACATGTGTACACATAAAATAAAAATAACAAAATTAAAAATATATTCGATGCCTAAGAATGAGAGGATCCCACTGAGACAGAGAATACAGTTCCAGGCTGGTGGCAAAGCTTTGGGACTGAGCCCTCCTGGGGTAGGAAGGGGAGCAGAACACAATGGACGCTGGGCAAGAGCACTGGGCTGTGACAGGAATAGGAACAGAGGTCTCAAAGGAGAAACAGGAACCTAGGAGCCCGGGGGCTTGGTGCAGGGTGAGGGGTAAGAGTTTGGAGAGAAGTGAATAGCCACCACTGAGTCCTGCCTGCCAGACTGGTCTTCACTGGCTGTCGGGACCCATGCACTCCAACCCCTGCAATATGCTCTATCCATCCTCCGATGTGCAGGCAGAGAAGTGTGAGCCGATTCATGCACTCCAGAGTGAACTCACTGCAGTAGTCACCTGAAATAAGAGCCTCCCATCACCTGAGTTTTAACACACCAGTGGTTATTTGGGACAGGCACAACATGGCACTCTCCTTGGAATGCAAATGTGGTCTCATTGCTCCCCCTTTTAGAAACAGATGGCATAAAGCAATGCTACCCCTCAACAGAAACTGCCTGTGGTTAAGGGACACTATAGACACACTGGCTTCAAAAGTCTGCCATGGCCCTGGGAAGATAGCTCGTTGGTAAACTTCTTGTTAGATCAAGCATGAGGACCTGGGCTTGGATCCCCAGCACCCACCTAAGAAGCCAGCCTGGCAGCAGGCACCTATAAGCCCAGCAATAGTGAGGTAGATATAAGGATCTGTGGGGCTCACTGGCCAGCCAGCTGGCCTAACTGGCAAACCCCAGGTTCAGTAGGAGACTTTCTCAAAAAAGAAGGTGGTGGGGGGAGGCCTGGAGAGATGGCTCAGCGGTTAAGAACACTGTGGTTGTTCTTGCAGAAGACCCGGGTTCAAATCCCAGAACCCACATGACAGCTAACAACTGTCTGTAACTCCAGTTCCAGGGGATCCGACAGCCTCTTCTGTCCTCTGCAGGCATCGCACGACATGGGTGCACTTTTCTACACGCAGGCAATACACACATAAACATAAAATAAAAAAAAATAAAAAACATTTAAAAAAAAAAAAAAAGAAGATAGAAAGAGGGCTCAGCAGCTAAGAGCACTTGATGCTTTTACAGGGGACCAGAGTTCAGATCCCAGCACCCAAACCCCACATTGGGTGGCCCACAATCATTTGTAACTCCAGCACCAGGAGATCCAACACATCTTCTGGCCTCTGAGGGTACCTGCACACAAGTGGTTCACACACACACACACACACACACACACACACACACACACACACACAATGCCCCATGTACTTGTAGAGAACAATTGGCAGAATTCAGTAATGGGTTCAGTCTTGGAGGGAGGAGTATGATGGATAGAGATGTATCATGACTGAGCTCCTTTGTGTAGTGGAATCTGCTATTTGCTGAGATGGTAAATATTGGTAGAAAATAAGGAGATTAGGGAGTGAACATTAAGAGGCCAGTGGTACATGTGTGGATTTTGTGACAGTTGTATACAGTTGAAGTTTAAGAGTGGTCTAGCCTCGAGACAAATATTTCAAAGCCACCAGAATGTCAAAAGGGGATGGGAGGCTCTGGGAGCTGGGATGGAAGTTTAAAGAATGTCTCCTTCAGTCTAGGCCATGTGCCACATCTTCTTCTGTGGTCCTTGACCTTTTAAAAAACCTTCTTTCCTTCCAAGAAGTCTTGGGTAGAAAGGAGACAGAGCATACTTAGGTCTTCTTAGCCCTACCCTCAATGTCTTCAGGACTTCAAAATCCTTCCACTCCCTTGTCCCATCCTTAACTTTCTACCTTGTGTTCATCAGATTTCTTTTACAGAAACAGATACCTGAGATAGTCAGCTTATAAAGAAGAAAGAGTTGGGCTAGAGAGGTGGCTCAGTTGCTAATGTTCTTGCCATAAAAGCATGAGAACCTGAGTTCAGATCTCTGGAGCCCCTGTAAAAAAGCCAGGCATGGTGGCACATACCTGAAACCCCAGTGCTTAGGGGAGGAATGGAGACAGACAGGTCTCTGAAGCTCATTGGCCAGCTACCCTAGCCAAATCAATGACCTTCAGGTTCAGTGAGAGACCTGTCTCAAAAAATTAAAGCAGAGAGGGATTGAGGAAAAACACCCACTACTAACCTCTGGCCTCCACATGCACACACACATATAAAGAGTTATCTGCCAAAGATCAAGCTACAGTGTATTTTCATATTTTATAAAGTATAGGAAGTGGACGTAGACTACTGGACAGGTGATTTTGTGCACATACAGTAATTCTAGTCATTCGTGTTCTTCAGGTGTGGTCATGTTTTCTATTAACATAAAGGAATGCTGTGTACAAACAGCATGCAAATATGTCTTTCTAAAAAGTAGTGCTCACGAATGTGGTGGTTTGGTTGGATACCCATAGGCTTGGGTATCCGAGCACTTGGTCCCCAACTGGCAGCACTGTTTGGAGAGGTTTAGGAGGTACAGCCTTGCTGTAGGAAGTATGATGCTGGGGAGGGGCTTTGAGCCTGCAGTCCCCTCCCACTTGGGAGCTGGTCTTTGCTTCATGCTTGTGGTTGAGGATAAAGTTCTCAGCTTCCTCCCCCTGCAGCCATATGTTCTGCTTGCTGCCATACCTCCCCACCATGACGGACTTTTACCTCTCTAGAACCATAAGCCAAAATAAACTCTTCCTTAAGAGGCATCTGGTCATGGCGTTTTTATCACAGCAACAGAAAAGTAACTAATACAGTGACCTTGAACCCAGAAACCAGCTTCGCATCAGCACAGTTGGTGCTGGATGTACATGGAGTAGCAGCTGCACATGGCAAATGAGCTCACGCTGTTCTGGCAAAGACGAAACGGCACAAAATGTGTTAACATGTGAAGACAAATATGCAAATATGTCTTTCTAAAAAGCTAGCAGAATGTCACTGTGCACATGAAGATTCTGAAACAGACTTCAACATATGACATACACATAAAGAAGTAGCATGTGCGCAAAGCCTCGAGGGGCAGGACATTAAGGAGGCTGTGGCCAAACAGCACTGAGCCAACAGAACTCAGGAGAGAAACATTCAGAAGGGTCACCACGGTGATGAAAATGGAGGCATAGAAGAAGAGAGAGCTCGGACGGCAATGGCAGAAATGGGCAAAGGAGAGGAAATGAAGCAGGATGATGGGGGATGAGAGATGGAGAAAAACGACACATCCCAGACTCAAAGACTCCAACAGTGCAAGACTGGAATCCCCAAAGGACTAAACCGAAGAAGGTTTAAGAGTGAGCAAGCAGTGCGGAAACACAGGGGTCTGCCTGTAGAAGAAAGGCCTGTGCTCCAGGCCAGCTGCCCCGTACAGTCCCTGGGAGGTCATGTCCCACAGAAGCTGTCTGGTCAGAAATGAAAAAGCCTCCTTGGGCAAGTAGGCTGGACTAATGGACACAAGGGTGCCATGTCTCTGGAACCCACATGGTTCTGGAGGAGTGTATGAAAGCCAGTGTGTAACCAGGACCCCTTCTCCCCATAGCCTAGTGCCTGAACAAGCTGGTTCCTTGGAGATTACCCAGAAAGGGGTGCAGAGCTTTGCTTCCTTGCCTAGCTCGGCCCAGGACTCCTGGGCATCATGTCACTCCTGCCCAGCATGCAGCTCACTTACGCTCAGTGGTAAAGCCTGTCTCCCCAGGCTCCTTCCGGTAGTATTCACTGCAGAGAGCAGCCAGGGCTGAGACAGCTGCCTCCTGAAACAGAGGAGGACATGAGTGAGAGGGACTCTGTGGAGAAGCCTCTGCCAGAGACACACAAGCCATGAGCTCCAGCACAGTGACTGGATCTAGAGACAAACCACGGTATGCGTCGCTGTTCTCGGGCTTCCCTTCCAAGTCTCTCACGGTCGCAGTGTGTCTGCTCACTGACAATCACTTCAAACTCTCTGCACTAGTAAACTAAAGTGAGGACTTGGTATTTCTTCCATACAGTACAAATTCTATGTGGAGCAGTTACTAAGATAAGGCTTTTTTTTTTTTTTCTTCCCCTTTCCCAGCAGAAGTAATGCCAGAGGCAGGTATGTTGTTTTCGTTGGTGAGGGCTTGAGGCAGTGCTGCAGGAGCCTCATTTAGAGGATAGCAGCGTCGTGAACTGGAGGATATGCCCAGCAAAGAGGGCAAGGAATCGATCTCAGCTCTGGGAGCCTCCATGGAGCAGGACAATGCTGTGTCACATGAGGCAGGAGGTCATGGTGAGGCATCTCCCTGGATCCCCACCTGTTTGCAGAGAAGGCCCCAACCCAACTCAAGCCTTCTGTGACCATTCAGTCAGCACACGGCAAATGCTTCTAGAAGAAACTAGACTTCTAGTTTCTTCCAAATGCCCCTCCCCAGAACCAAGGGGAGAGGAGCTGAGGAGGGACAGTGAAGCTCAGCACAGAGATGCTACGTAGCCAAGTGTCACAACCACTGCTGGCGTGACTTATGGGTCACTTCTTCAAAGAAAATATTGAGACACTGATCATGAGGCCTCCAAATTGAACCAGGAAGGCTGTGCCACAGTTCACAGTTCCACAGAATGAACAAGTCTAAGAAACAAAAGAAGGAAACGCAGGGCAGGCAGGGATCATGAAGCCCAAACTGCCACTACTCACCCTGACAGCAGAGCCTCTCCAACATCAGCAACCACGTCTTACTGCCAGAACAACAGGTTGTATGCCATAGCTCTGCCAGGCCACACACGCGTGGTCACTGGTGCTCTAACCGCACCGAGCCCTGGCATCCAGCTGCCCTGGCAGAATCTTGCCTGTGGTTTTTTACATCTCTATGTGAACAGTTTCTAAACCTGAATTCCTATAGCTCACTAGGGTTTAGGTTCTACCTGAGCAAATCATTGCTATCAACATGGGGAAAGTATTTTGGTAAAGCCAGAAACTGTAGTAAAAAAGTAAACCACTTGGCCACAAATGGTCACACTAGGCTGCATATGCAAATCACACAGACCCAATGATAGTACTGTGGACTGTCACGTCAGTAAATGAAAATGACGTGTGCACAAAGGCCTCAGACAGGCACTGTGGATGGCATTAGCATCACTTTTGACACGGCATGAGGAAACTTTGCTTGGCATACCTTGATCTGTTGCCTGGAGTGGCTTGAAACAAGGTGGAGACTTCTGAGAGTGTCACTGATCAGCCACTGCCAATCGTCTACCAAAGAAGAAAAATGACATATCACCTCAGAAACACAGCTGATGCTTTAAGTAACAAGCATCCACTTGGTCTTGGAGCAGGTGACCTCTAGAGTACATCTGTAGAACCTCAAGAGCACATTCAGATAGAACAGATACCCACAGGCCCCAATTCCAGGAGGCCCACCTCAGGCTACTAAAAGTCAGGACCCCTGATACCCAACCCCTGCCATGGTGTAGGAAATGCCACTCCCTGTAAACCAAGGACTTAAACACCATGTTTGGGAACTTTCTGTTTTGTTATTACAGTTGCAAGCTTTCAGTGGTCTGTCCTCTCTCTCCCTCAGGCCATCTCCTGGTCCCCACCGACTGAAACCCAACACCCAATGCAACTACATCCAGCATATGATGTGGCGCTAACTGCTTACTCTGTTCAGCTAAACGAGATTAGTGACTTGAGACTGGGGAGGCCTGGGAATGGACCACCTAGTGCCACACAGCTGTCATCACTAGATCTGAAATTCTGGGCCATGGAGCCCAGCCATCTATTTGGGAGAGGGCTGACCTCAAGTGCCCAGCACTGGGTACTGGTGGTGACACGGAAAGCCACAGCCAGGAGTGCCGTGGAGGGTCCAGGAAAGACACCCTCCCCTCCTTGGGCCTGTAGGGAGAGGCTGGCAGGAGCCTGCAGAAATTTCAAGACAAGGTACCTGTGCTGGGTGCTTTAGTGTCAACTCGACACACCTGGGTTGAGGGAGCCTCAACTGGGGAACTGCCTCCATTAGATTGGCCTGTGGCCATGTCCATGAGGCATTTTCTTGATTGTTGAGTGATGTAGGTGGTGCCACCCCTGGGCAGATGGGCCTATGTTGTATAAGAAAGCAGGCTGAGCATGGGCCAGGGGAGCAAGCCAGTAAGCAGTGATCCTCCATGGCCTGTGCTCCAGCTCCTGCCTCCAGGTTCCTGCTCTGGGCTCCCTCAGTGATGAACTGTGACTTGGGAGATGTAAGCTGAATAAACCCTTTCCTCCCCAAGTTGGTATTGGTCAGAATATTTTGTCACAGCAACGAAGAAGCAGATTAGAACAGCGCCCCAATCCTGTGACCTTCTCAAATACAATCGTTACCATCCACCTCCATATGCTCACATCTTTCTTACTTTGTAAGATGGGACAACAGAGAAGAAAATGCTACATGTGTCACTGACAAGAACAGCACTTACCGATCACAGTGTCACCTCTAAAAGGCATTCTGGAAAGTGACAAGTTCTCTATTAAAACACACACTAGAGAAAGAGAGAAAAATATTACTTTTCCAAAGCACCTCTTATAGCCTCACTGTACCTTGAAATACGTATCAGTCAGCATCAAACGCTCCTACCCACCTCCCCTTGCTGGTCAGGCCACAGGCAAGCCCAGGCTACCTCCCCAGCTGGACATTAGGAAGAAGGTACTTCAGATCTCAGTAGACAAAAACGCTTGGGGATCCCTCTCAGGGAGAAACCTATGTGCACCCAGAAACCTAAGTTCAGTCAATAACATTTTGAGACTCAAGTGCAGCTTGGTGGGAGCATGCCTGCTCAGCAAGCTCAGGCCCATGGTGGTTAGTCTTCACTGTCATCTCAATTTGATGAGACCCAGAATCACCTCTTGGATGTGTCTATAAGGGTGTTTCCAGAGAAGTTTAACAGAGAAGGGAAGACATACCCTGAATGTGGTGGTACCACTCCATGGACTCAGGTCCTGGTCAAATTCAGACAAAGTGAGCTGAGCACCAGCACATCTCCCTGCTTCCTGGCTTCAACAGCCTCACACGCCTATGTCACAGCTAACGCTGCTCTCTCTGCTGCCTTCCCCACCACAACAGGCTGCACCCTCAAAGTGAGCCAAAAAACCCTTTCCCCATGTTGCTTTTGTCTGTTTTGTCATAGCAATTAAAAACGTAGCTGACACGGGCCCTAAGGTCAGTCCTTTCTCCCAAATGGACAGCCAAAGCAACAAAAATGCCCACAAGGGAGCGAGGACTGTCCTGGACCCAAACATGGATTTCCCAGGGAATAAAGCCTCAAAGGGCTACCTACAGGCACAAAGGTATAAGACAGGTGAGCACCTAAACTTCATAGGTAGAGGGCAAGAGGGCACCTGGGGTCCACAAGGATAGGACAGGTTGATCACTTGAGGGAATACAGGTGTACAACAGGTGAGCATCTGAGGTTCACAAGTATAAGGCAGGTAATCTACAGGTGTGGGGCAGGTGGCTATCTGGGGTCCATAAGTGTAAACAGGTGGAAGGATACCTGGGGGTGTAATGGATGTAAGGTACAAGTCCATTGCAGAGGCACAGTGCAAGGTAGCCCAAGGCTGCAGGTTGTATGAAACAGGGTAGTAAAGCCCACTGTCCTCAAGGCCGGGTCCTGGATGGGCTTTGGGCCTAAAACTCTGGTACATGCTGATCATCTATGACTATGTTGTACTGATCTGTGAAATAAGAACATGACCACCATATCCATGGGCAGGAACACAGCAGGTCAGCATGTGGACCTGCTCATACAGAGGAAACAACTAGGATGCTGACTGACTGCAGCAGCATCTGGCATCTGAGCACCACCTGGGTAGCATCGGGAGAGCAGCAGTCAAGCTGTGCGGGGCTATACCTCAGAGAAGGCAGCTGCTGGATATGCCCGAGCTCCGCCTGGTTCATCCCGACCTGACCACCAACCTCTCCCATGCTGGCCACTTCCACCTGCTTTTCCACACTCATAGCATTGTGACAAAAAGAAGTGACACCAAGAAAGCAGGGATCTTATCAGTTTCTTTTATAAAACAAGAATCCCATGGCAGTCAACAGAGCTGGTGGCGACAAACTCCTGAAATCTAGCCCTGAGCGGAGAGGCCTCCATCATGAAGAGGACCAGGAACAGACACAGTTGACACAGGGGCACACTCACACCCTCTCCTGGCACCTCTTCCCCACAATGACCACTGGGGCTCCCCTCCCTGTGCCTGCTCAGGTGCTTGTTAGTACTGCTCACTCTCTTCCTCCTCTGCGTGCCTATCAGAGTGCCTCCAATTACAATGGTAGTGGCCAGGCTCGGCGGCACATGCCTGCGACCCAGGCACTCAGGATGTAAAGGCAGGAAGACCACTGGAAGCTTGAGGTCAGCCTGGTTGATATAGAGAGTTCCAGGCTAGCCAGAGCCACATAGCAAGACTGTGATGAGATGATAATCCTGCAGTTGGAGAGTGATGGTACGTCTGTCTGCATGAGCATAATGGTGTCTCTGTCCATGTGAGCTTATGTCTATCTGTGTGAGCGTGGTGCTACCTCTGCCCGTGTGAGCAGGACGGCACCTATGTCCACGTGAACCTCGTGGTACATCTGTCTGTGCCCTGGCTCTGAGAGCATGCTGTTATCAAACAGGCCAGCGCTGGGGGAAGTGACACAAAGATGACAAGACTCTGCACCTAATCTTGTAACTTCCCATGGTCTTGGGTATTTCAGAGTGAGAACTTTTTCTCTTTTGTTGTTTTGGTTTGTTGCTTTGTTTGTAACAGACTGGAGCTAATCGGGATCTGTGAAAAGTCATATCCCAAAGTTCGTACTCCCATCTTGGCCAGAGGACGATTTGGAAAAGCCACTCTGTGGTCTGCAGCACACCGCCATGGGCCCACCCACTGTTGCCAGTCCTGTGGCTGGAAAAAGATCAGAGCCCTGGATCTGTGAACTGGAGGGACTGGACACAGTGGAGCAGATGCAGGGGGCTAGTCGGGGGCCTCCTGGACACGAGCAAACCAGGCACAGTGGCAGGATCTCAAACAGGAGCCAACTGCCACCACGTGCTACTGGAGGCCTGGCCTGACCTCAGGATGCTCTGCCCTCTGCCGCAGTCAAGGACGGCAGCCCACACCCCAGACGTAGGACATTCTGCCCTTGCCGCGGTCAAGGACGGCAGCCCACACCCCAGACGTAGGACATTCTGTCCTCTGCCACGGTCAAAGACAGAGTCTACACCCCAGACCTACCTGCTTGTCTCATGAGCTCTCCTCCCAGACCCCTACAAACCAAAGAGAACAGGCAGAGTTAAACTCCCCTACACATGAAACATCCCACCACGCAACAGATAGAACTTCAGATACCAAAAACTATGAAAAGGCTAATTGGGCGACTCTGTCTCTGGAAGTGAGAATCTGCTTCTTGGAAAGGAACAAGAAGCTGTGGCAAGACCATCCTCCAGCATCCCCCATCCTCTGAGCTTCACACCGACGACACCTGGTCATCATATAGAACCAACCCCAATACTGCTCAACCTCATCACCACAACATCAAGATGACTATCCCTTGACCTAAAGCAGTGGTCAGTCCAGTACTGCTCATTACCATTCGTCCTGCCTGCAGCACCTACCCAGCCCTCAGCACTGGCAGCAGGAGCTAAGAGCATAGCGCCTGGCTTGGGAGGCAGCAGCATCTGACTCAGAGAGTAAACAATTAGGACAAAAATGCAGAAACACTGGGGCAAAGGCTGGGAGATAGCGCGGCACCGAGGTCCAGTACCCCAGAACACTGTCAGAAAGCACTGAGGTCTCCAGGAAGTTCCTATGTGTACAAAGGTAAAGTCCAAGTGGAGCCTCTGGCCACCCTGTCAAGCCAGGTCTTGAGGCCATGGAGGCCAAAGCCTGAAGCAGAGGGGCACTGGGAAGGAGAAGGCCTGTGGCTGATCCTGAGCTGCACGTGCCATGGAAGAAGGCAGGACCCCCTCAGATCTACGCAGGTTAGGAACATCAGCCAGGAAGGAAAGGCCACAGCGGGATCCTCACAGGAGCCAATGCTGCTCTAGATCCACTGGAGGCTTCGACGCAGTCTCCAAGTGTTCAAACACACACCAGGAAGAAATATAACAGAACCCAATCCCAGCAATGTAAATCTCAGAAAGTGAGAATTGGTGGCAGAGAACTACCAGGAAAACATGGCCTCAAGCAAGAGTCACTTACACCAACCCAGAAATGTCCAACAGAAAAGAAGTTTACACAAGGTCACCATGTGTGGTCATCTTATTCCATGTGCAGCTAAAGGGTGGAGGGAGACAGGAGCAGAATGAGACAGAGACAGAGGACGCAGAGCTCACAGACGCTAGGGAGATGCACTGGAAAGAGAAACTGCGTCAAATGCAAGGAGGAGCAGACCAACAAAAGAGAATTCCAACCTACCACCACGGAAAGCGGGACTGTGGCAGGAACAGCAAAAGGGGATGGGCCCTCAGGTGGTGCTTCTGACAAAGCAGGTGTTTACTTCGATTTGATGAGCTTCATCATATGAACATTATTTTCTCAGAAACTGAATGAATCCACAGAACAGATGGTGGACAAGGAGCCCCCCTTCCAAGGCCGGGATGAGAATGGCGGGTGAGAGCCCCACACGTGCACTCATCTGAAGACCCAGCAGGAGGCGTGCCTCTTCCCTAAGCCTCCCTAGTCACCTCTGGAAATTCGGAGCTGACCCCAGAGCTGCTCTGAAACACACTGTGACTGGCAGGAACGTGGATGCCAGCAGCAACCCAGTCACACCACCAAATAGGGTGCCTGCGCTCCTGCTCGGCAGTGGGAACAGCACCGCTGACACAGTGTATCTCACATGCTCTCCAAGGAGAAGCACGGTGTGCTTCCAAATCTCTGTAGTATTTAAAACAGTCTCCTCTGTAGTATTGGGCAAATACTGTAAAAATTAAATATCTGGGGACTGGAGAGATGGCTCAGCGCTTAAGAACACTGGTTGTTTTTGCAGAAGACTGGGGTTCGAATCCCAGCACCCACATGGCAGTTAACTACTGTCCGTAACTCCAGTTCCAGGGGATCCGACAGCCTCTTCTGTCTTCCGTGGGCATTGCACGACACGGGTGCACTTACCTACATGCAGGCAATACACATGTACACATAAAATAAAAATAATGAATAAGATATTTTTAAATAATTAAATGTCTTTAATAACTTGTGTGGCAGTCATTTCATCCTACTGCTAAAAAACAAAGATTTAAGGAATTTTTACCCTCACGTCAGGAGTACACGTGACACAGCAAGAAGCAAAAACAGTTCACAAATCCGCACAGAAAGACAGGTTCAAGACTGTGAGATGACTGGCAGTAGAAGCTGGTTCTGATGGGCCCGGAGGACCAGAGCTGGGGCAAGAAGGCCGTGAGTTCCCAGCCACTGCACAGCTCATTGAAACCACCATCACTGCACAGCTCATTGAAACCACCTTCACTGCATAGCTCATTGAAACCACCTTCACTGCACAGCTCATTGAAACCACCTACACTGCACAGCTCATTGAAACCACCATCACTGCACAGCTCATTGAAACCACCTTCACTGCACAGCTCATTGAAACCACCTTCACTGCAGAGCTCACTGACACCTTCACTGCACAGCTCACTGACACCATCACTGCACAGCTCACTGACACCTTCACTGCACAGCTCATTGAAACCACCATCACTGCACAGCTCATTGACACCATCACTGCACAGCTCATTGACACCATCACTGCACAGCTCATTGACACCATCACTGCACAGCTCATTGACACCATCACTGCACAGCTCATTGACACCATCACTGCACAGCTCATTGACACCATCACTGCACAGCTCATTGACACCATCACTGCACAGCTCATTGACACCATCACTGCACAGCTCATTGACACCATCACTGCACAGCTCATTGACACCATCACTGCACAGCTCATTGACACCATCACTGCACAGCTCATTGACACCATCACTGCACAGCTCATTGACACCATCACTGCACAGCTCATTGACACCATCACTGCACAGCTCATTGACACCATCACTGCACAGCTCATTGACACCATCACTGCACAGCTCATTGACACCATCACTGCACAGCTCATTGACACCATCACTGCACAGCTCATTGACACCATCACTGCACAGCTCATTGAAACCACCTTCACTGCACAGCCCACTGACACCTTCAACGCACAGCTCACTGATGCCACCTTCAACGCACAGCCCACTGACACCTTCACTGCACAGCTCACTGACACCTTCACTGCACAGCTCACTGATGCCACCTTCACTGCACAGCTCACTGACGCCACCTTCAATGCACAGCTCACTGACACCTTCACTGCACAGCTCACTGACGCCACCTTCAATGCACAGCTCACTGACACCTTCACTGCAACAGCTCACTGACGCCACCTTCACTGCCCACTCCCTGTAGCTCTAAGTAAGCTGCACCGGGAAGCTTCCCCTCTAAGAGCATAAGAAGGCAGCATGACGCTCAGCTATACACAATTACACTAAAGAGCCCAAAAGAGAAACAAAAGAGCAAGAAGTGAAAAAAACAGTGAAAACCTGTGTCTGATAGAAAATTCTGATCCAGGAGACCCAGAGCTCTGACTGCTCAACAGGACAGATGATGGAAATTTTTAAGGAATTAAAGGTCTGAACGGTCACTTCACAGGAGACAGAGCAATACCTGGTCAGCACAACATGCCCAGCATCACTAGTCACTAGGGACATATAAACCACATCCACCTAACAAGCCAGAGATAATGAGATACCACCACAAATCACAAAGATGGCACAGGTGTCAAGGTGACCACAGGAGTTAGTGCTGGTGAGGACACAGGACAAATGGTTGGGATGTATTGTGAAGAAGCCTACCAAATGACCTGACAGAACCAGTCCTGATAAATCCAAGAAAATGGATACATCTGTACACCAAGACACACCGATGTGCCCCAGAGCTATATTTTACACTGTACGAGGCCTGAGCTGACAAGATGCTACTCAGCAGTAAAAAGGAACGGAATAAGCACTTGGAGTCCATGGAGCAGGAGGATCATGGGTCAGCATGGAGAACACAGCAAGAACCTGTCTAACACAAACCAAAAACAAAAAAACAATACAACATGGGTGACTCTTAGAAACACCCTGGGAGAAAGAACCGGACCCCGAGAGCTCCACATGCCTCCAACTGCAGAGAAGCTGGAAGGGGCAGAGGGTACTCAAGGGGCTGCGCCAGGAGTGAGCAGCCAGTGAGGGCAGGTACAAACTCCAGCAACATCTGTTCTGCTTCTTGGCTGGAGACAACTATCTTCCGTCACAGTACAGCCAAGCACATACTGAGCCATGGGGTGTGGTGACCTCTCCACGTGAGCGTCCACAAAGCCTGAATATACCAAAGAGGTGCCCTTCAATACTGAACTGTGTGACAACTGCACCTCTCCAAAGTGAACTATAACAATGCGACTGATGAAGGTAAGCTGTTAGCTGCTGAAAGTGCATCAAGGGCCAGCAAGATGGCTCAGCAGGTAAAGGGGCTTGCCACCAAGCCTGATAACCTGAGTTAGATCCCTGGGTTCCACATTGCAGAAGGAGAGAACCAACTTCTGCAAGTTGTCCTCTGATCCCCAATGGCGCAGTATGCCATGTGTTCCTCCCAGCAACACAAAAATAAATAAATGTAATTTTAAAAGAACTGTAAGTGTATCAATGGACCAGTTGCTCCTGACAACATGCATTTCCATTGGACACAACAAATAAGAAGCTCTGTTCAGTAGGCTTACCTGTAGAGATGACGATCACGAAGCTGAAATTAAATCCAAGACAGATAAGTCATTTGGTTCAATATCTGTTCTGTACATAACGCTGATGGTTATCAACACAAAAATGACGGCAGGATGGCAAAGCTGAGCTTTTCTAGGCAGGCTGCCATAAAGTCAGCCGGGAAGGTCAGAGGACAAAAGCCACTTCACTGCCAGGCCTTGGCTAGGTTCTTCAGGTGCGTTGTCACAAAAGGGAAACGGAGGCACAGGAGGAGGAGGGAGGCTCCCGAGATCCTGAACTCCACCCACAATCGGAAAGCTCAAAGGGCTCTGGTGGTTCCGTCTTCAGAAAACATTAGCTGTTTCCCATCATGCTGTCGCCAGCACAGCTACAACGTGCTGAGTCCACACTATTCCAGCTCCACTGAGCTTCACACGGCCTGTAATTCCCACGAAAACTAAAGGCATGACCTTGTTGTCACCCATGTCCCTCAGAAATAGGAAACCCTGGCTCAGAGGACGTGGGCCCTGTTCTCTCTGATCCTAGGCTGCCTCCCCCTCAGTCACCTTCACCTCAAACGCTGGGCAAGAACGCCAGCCTCCTCTTTATGGTTTATCTTACTTTTATGTATACGAATCTTTGCCTGCATGTATGTAATAAGTGCACCACATGCATGCATTGCCTGTGGAGGCTAGAAGATGGTGTTGGGTTCCCTGGAACTGGAGTTATAGGTGGTTGTTAGCTACCATGTGGATGCTGAGAACTGAATCTGGTCCTCTGCAAGAGCAGTGTTCTTAACTGCTGAGTCATCTTCCAGTCCTACTAGGGTCCACTTTAACATGAGAAATGAAAACTAAATGGTATTGCCATGGTCAGAAGAAACTGAGAGAAAAGGCTCATATAAAAGGAAAATCTGAGCCGGGTGTGGTGGCACATGCTTTTAATCCCAGCACTTGGGAGGCAGAGGCAGGAGGATCTTTGTGAGTTCAAGGCCAGCCTGGTCTACACAGGGAGTTCCAGGACAGCTGGAGCTACAGGGAGACCCTGTCTCAAAAAGACCAAAAAAAAACAAAAAAAAAAGGAAAATCTTCAGGAACAGAAAACCATTTGAAACAAGAAGCAATAAAACCATTTAATTTTTAACAAATGGTTCTGAGACGATCTGGGGTTTATACTTTACCTCTTTTGAGTCATAGACAGTTTTAAGAATCTCAAAATCCTCGAAAAACTTCACACATGCCTTCGGAGACTAAAGGCCTGTGCGTCATGGGTGTCCCTTGCCCTCCATCCACAGGACATATCTGGGCCAGGACAGGGGACATGCTGGCCCCTTGCTGAGTACTCCCAAATGTCTGAAGAGTGCTGTCAGGCCCACAGTGAGACACAGATGCAGCCCCGAGTCCCACTGATTCTGCTGCCCTAAGTCAACAAGATGGCTTCTGACCTCAAGGAGGGAGCCAGTCCCACTGCCGATTTCAGACAAATTCCCAAAGAGTAACTGTGGGGAGGCCACAGAGTCATCATGCCCCAGTAGCCCCACTGTGCTCATCCGGATAGGCAGACCCAGTCCAGGAAGAAGGAAGGGGCTTGGGTGGGCCACACAAACCTGTTGGTGGATCTGCTTCAGGCCTTGCACTGCCTTCTCATCCAGATAGTCTGTGATAGGTCTGCAGGAGGTCAAACAGCGCTGAGGTCACAAGGACTGAGGCTGAGGCCAGGTACACATAAGGAACACGGGGGCTCAGAAGGATCTGCTTGTTCACACTCCCACATGTCCTATTTCTGACTTCAATAAAACTGTGTTGGGGGCTAGAGAGATGACTCAGTGGGTAAAAGCACTTGGACAACCTGAGTTCAATCCCCATGCTACAAGGAGGGAACTGATTCCCTCAAGTTGTCCTCTGACTTCCACATGTGCACCATCTCTCTCTCTTACACACACAGACACACACACACACACACACACACACACACACACACGCTGTATGGTTACAGCAGGTGAGCATCAGGGTGTCCCAACATGCTGGCACTGGGTCTCAGAAGTTGTCTTGGCAGACGGCACTGACCATATCGTCATGCACTGCCAAGGAAAGGTGCATCCCACATGCCTCTTAACACAACTAAGGAGAGTCAGGTCAGCAACACCAGGTGTCCACTTCACCCACAGACTTGAGGCTCTGAGCTGTGTTCTAGGGCCAGGGGACAACTAAGGCCCCTTGAGACTGATGGGTAGAATGGCCCAGGTCTCCATCTTCTATCATCCTATCCCTGGAAACCACCTAACATGACAGGCAGTGACTTCAGTACATGTTTCATCAAGCCTGAGTCCAAGAGCAGGTCACAGACATCACTGTGCTCTGTGAGCTCTTATAGAGACATAGGGAAATCAAGCAGCTCTTAGAAGGATTGTCCTGCTTGGCCGACTTCCTGCTTTGCCGTCCCTACAGATGCAGCCAATGGAGGAGATGCTCAGGGAAACTTCCAAACTTACACTACCACGTACTTTAAGTTACTAGAAGTGACAAATGGGGACTGAGGAGATGGTTCAGTGAGACTTGCTTCACAAGTCTGATAACCTGAGTCTGGATTGCCAGAACCCAAGTAAAAGTCAGGCACAGCAGTGCACATGTTGTAATTCCAGCATGCCCCTGGGGCAGCTATCTTGGTGAACAACAAGACTGTCTCAAATGAGGTAGAAGGTGAGGATAATGCCTAAGGTTGTCCCTCTGACCTCCACACACATGCCGTGGCACATAACTGTGCTCTCCCTCTCTCTCTCTCTCTCTCACACACACACACACAGTGACAAATGAACTGTTCAGCGACACTTCTGAACAGGTGTCACTGCTCCTGTGATCTGAGTCATGGCTTTGGGATGATGGAGGGAAGCAGAGGAAGCACAGACACCTTTTGGCCGCCACCCAGAGTACCCCAAGGAGAGGTAGGTGTTCCCACTGACCACCTCAACACAGACTGGAACCCTCAGGACACAGCTGTCGCAGATGATCACGTGTCAGAACAGACACACTGTTCTCAAACCCGTCACTGTGACACCCAGTGTCCCGGATGGCACCTCATACCTGCTGCTCTGTGCTGCCAGCTTGTACAGAGCATAGGTGACCTCTGCACAGGCAAGGATGGCGCCGTGTCGTGTGTGCAGATCCGGACTCCGTGTCATCAACAACAGTGCTGGGAACACTGCAGCAGTCAGGGTGAGAGACACACATGGGACCTCTGTCAAGGTCACCACCACAAGGGCCACACAGAAGGTGCAATTTCTAGTGGGCAGAGCTCCCTCCTGAGCAACCAGGGAACTGTTGGGTCATGGCACACAGACCAGCACAGGCATCTGGACTCCCAGATGTGCAACTAGTGACAGAGCTGCGAAAGGGGTCACGTGTGCAGTTCTCCCATGTGCCCCGATCAGCATCCTGAGTGACAGCAGGCTCTGCCTGGGAGCACAGGTGGGGCAGAGCCCACGTGGCCATGACAGTGACACCTTCATTCATTTCCTCCTTCCGCTCAGAGCAGTTTTCTTCCCACTCTGGTGTTCAAGAAGAGAAAGTAGGACTGCTCCAAATCCCAACCATACACCAATCGAGGCACTGGCAATACAAATGAGCCTCTAGAATTCATCATCATTTGTAAATATATACAACATGACCCACAGATTGCTTGTTCTGGGCACATCTGTGCCCGGCGCCACCCAAAGCTGCCAGTGGACACACACCCTGCATCTGTCTGTCCTGATTTAGCCACGGTTCACTCTTCAGCAGTAGACATGGGACATCATCTTCAGCCACCAAGAGACCAGCACACCTTTTTGCTGTGTGCGCAGAGGGAGGGCATGTGCACATGTGGGGGGAGGCACACCTACCATGCGTGGCAATGTACTCAGGCATTCGTGGGGTCAGATTGTGCAGTGCCTTCGCAGATAGTTCTCGGATGGCCCTAGGGAGTGAGGCAGACATAAGTATGGAGTGATTTGCACACCTACACTCACATCAGCATTATTCACAATGGCCATGAGATGGAAGTAGCATGAGAATGCACCAACAGATAGATGGACACAAAACACAGGAGATACAGACAACAGACTATTACTCAGCCTTAAAAGTTGAATAATTGTAACACCTACGACAGCATAACTGACAGTCTGCAGTAGGTAGGTCAAACCCTTCCTGGGGTCTCTTTTGTAAGGCTCTAGGTTAAGGATCGATTTTACGTTTTGAGGGTTTGTATAAAGAAAAAATAAGAGTAAGATATATGGTTCAAGGCGAGCCTGGTCTACGTAGCAAGTTCCAGGCTAGCCAGAGCTACATAATGAGACATTGTCTCAAAAAAATAAGAGTACCATATAAGAATATGAGGGACACGAGGAATTAACTGCCTGTCCCTTTAAAGAAAAAGTTGACAGAGATGCACATGCTCAATGCTCAGTCACAAGTGAAGACATCTGAGACAAAGCAGCGCGTCACGTGACAAACACATTAGGAAAACAGAGATCACAGATGCACACATCTGACAAGAGGCCTCCCACTCAAAACACAAACGGAACAGAATTGGAAAAATAAGTCAAAGATTTCAAAAGCTCTATCGATTACATATTTGGCTGGTATGCTGGTATGAGAGGCAACATAAATAATCACTCCCAGGTTAGTGTAGGCCTGCTCCCAACAAGAGATTCTGGTGTCCCAGTCATCTGCACGCTTGGCACATAAGTTCCAGAAGGAAAGAAGTACTATCCTAGTCTCACACAGGCCCAAGCCAGAAGCACCCAACTCCAGGGAGCGCCACTCAGATGGCACCCAGCTAGACAAGCAGCTGTCAACAAATACTTTTGACGTCCCTGGTCCTCAGGAAGCTGAAACACAGTCCCCAGTGGTGCATGAAGACCCACTCTGGAACTAGAATTGTCAGGGACAGCAGATACAACTGCTCACCTCCTCCAGTGTTTGCTGTACCTTGACTGGCCAGGCCTGCCTACAGGTGCTGGCAAAGCACAGTGTGCTTATGATCTGAAATCACACTTGCCTTCTTCTGTGAAAGCTATCTATGAAATATCAAGACAGCCCTCAAGCTGCGACTGCAATTGTGGAAACCACCTCTAGCCTGCTCAGCTCCCAGGAGACATCAAAGATGTCTGGGAGACCAAGCAGAGCAGAGTTGGTATGGAGGTAAGTCAGCTGACCAGAAGGCCACTGGACTGCCCCATCCCCAGGCAGCAGCTGCCTTGTTACACACAACATATGGGCATTCAGGAATTATTACTCCTTAGTCATGCCTGGCCAACAGCTCCAGAAATGAAACTAGAAAGGTGGGCCATCAACCAGCATGCCAGGCATGCAACTGCGGTTCATGTCACTTTTCAGAAGGAAGGGCTCTAAAACAGTTCATCTACGATAAGAAAATATAACTCAAGAACTTACAAGCTCAATTTAATGTCTCCTTCAAAAAGAATCTTTGGAGACTCACAAAAACACAGAGCTCACCCATCCCAGTGGCTGACTTTCATGGACATCAGGTGGTCTATCATCGGCTTGGTATACTCCTGGAAGCCAGCAATGAACACACTGAAAGACATAAGAGCCGAAAAAAGGGCTGGAGAGGAGTGAGGTGTAACAACAAAAAAGTACAAAATACATACAAAATGTTTCAAAATCGGTATTTTATAGGATACCTAAAAATTAAAAATAAACAAAAGAGAAAGGACACAGAGGAGCCGGAATCTTCATACACTGCTTGTGAGAATGGAAACTCACACAATGACCTTAAAGAGTAGTTTGGCCGTTCCTTCCAAAGTAAAAGGTGCCTCCCAGATGACCCAGCCATTCCTTGTCTCCCAGAGAAGAAAAGCACTCATCCACAGAGACCATGCACACAGCACAGCAGCACACCTGGGCCATGACTGAGAGCAGCTCCAGCATCCACCTGTCCATGCAATGAGCACTCAGCAGCCCAAAGGAATGGACTGCTTTTATTTTTAAAAAGTTCTATGTGTATGAGCTCTTTGCCTGCATGTATGTAAGTACACCAGGTGTGTGCAGTGCCTGCAGAGGGCATCAATTAAGATTTATTTTAATTATCTTAATTTATGTGTATGTGTGCATACGTGTGTATCTGTGTAAGTGTATGTCACATGTGTAGGAGTGCCCAAAGAGGCCAGAAGAGGGCAGGATCCCTTGAGGTTAAGTTAGAGATACAGGTGTGAGCCACCCCAACATGGGTGCTGGGAACTGAACCTGGTTCTCTGCAAGAGCAGTAAGTGCTCTTAACTGAGTCATCTCTCCAGTCCCCAGGAGTGAACTTCCTAACACACATAAAAATGGATCAATCTTAAAATAATCATGCTAAGTGGGAAAGGCCAGACAAAAATGAAAAGCAATCTGTACAGCAGAGCGGCATTAGTGATGTGAGCAGCATATTACAACCTTGGTATCCACCTGACAGTTTCCCGAGTATCCACCTCTGTCAGATTTAGCAAGCTGTGTGCTTGTGTACATGCCACACATCTTAATTACATATAATAAGGCTATTGAATGATTTACAAAAAATGAAAATAAAAGTCACAGATGGCAAACAGCTTATATTATCTGGACATATAAGGAAGATAAAACTCAAAAACTGTGCATTTGCACAGGATATCACAAAAAGATAAAAGGCCAACACACACATGGAAAGATGTCCCACATGAGTCGTTAGCAAGGATGAAGTGCTCTGAATGGCAAGGTATTCTCAGGCTGGCAGCAACCCAAACCTCAAGGGGTGGAAAAGCCAGAAGCCCCGTTCACAGCCACTTTCCACGGAGCTTCTCAGCAAATCTTAAGAAATTCCCTTTCTAGTCTTTGCCTAAGAGAAATAAAGACTCCCAAATGCTTACAAGAGCCTTATCCATCAGAATCAAAAACTCAAAACCACCCAACTGCTGATCAATGACCACCCGCACAGGTGAACTGTGAAGCCCCAGAGCAGCACCAACTCAGCAACACAGAAGAACCCACGTACAGCAGCAGGGATCACGGAGCTCAGCACAAGAATCCAGCCACAGGCAAAGCACCAGATCGTAGGGCTGGTCAGGACAGACCGCAGAGGTGACAGGAGCCCTCTACATCCCAATGAAGGTGAAGACTGCCTGGTGTGTGCACGGTTAGCACTTGCTAAACTGTATGTACAGAGAGACAAGCAATGGTGTGCAAATGATGCCTTAAAATGAAAGTGACCAAAGTTGCAGTGCTGAGGCTGCCACTCAGGAGGGAATGTTCACGCAGCATGCTTTAGGGCATGGATTCCAACCCATCACCACTGCAAAATAAGTTACATCTCTTGGAAACAACATGGTGTAACTTAAAAAAAAAAAAAAAAAAAAAAAAACCTGCAAATGAGAGTGATCTTTCTAATTAAGTGAAAAAACTAATACTAGAAAAAAGAAGTTGATAACATTAAAACACAAAACCCCCAAGAAAAATATGGCAAGAAAAACACCAAAAATAAAGTCAAAGCAAACAAAAATATCTGCCACTGGAATCACAGCAGACTGCCCTGAAATAAACCAGGTCATTCAGCAAGGACAATGACCAGAAGTCCACAGCAGCGTGCACTCGGCCTCTGGAAGCTGCGTTCTGCGCCTTCGTGGAGAGGAAAAGCGGAGTTTGCTGTGACCTCTAGACAGCCATCAGGTACTGCCACTGTGAAGGGCTGGGGCACTGCCCACAGCTTCTCTTCTGGGGACCCTTTCAGGTATGACACACAGGGAAAAAGCTGTATCAACCACACAGCTTATAAAGACTTACTGGCCCGGAAGGGCTGCTGAGACCACAGTGTCCAGACACAGGAAGGTGGTGTTCCCATTCAGGGAACCCACACTTGCTGAGCAGGGTTCAGAGCTGCCCCTCACCTAATATGCCGTCCTGCCCATGTGCAGCTATGAGCAGACTCTCAGGAAACGGTAACGATGGGAACTCCAGGATGAGATGGGCAGCGAGGAGAAGAATCAAGTGGCTTTCCCCACAGTGTGGCCAGGAGTGGATTCACATCACAAGGACCTTAGCTCCAGGGTACTATGGTGTGTCCTCTGCATGGCCCAAAGCAGGCCCACACCCAGCCAGCAACCCTGAAGTCTGCAGCAGGGCCAGAGAGGGGCAAGCAGATAGTTGGTACCTCACAGAAGAAAGCAGAGGGGTACTAGGCCTCCTGAGGCCAGCCGAAGCTCTGCCACCAACTAGTGGTGGCCTTAGGGAAGACATGCCTGAGCCCTGGCCCAGGGCAGCACTGTCCATTCCTAGCATACAGGACACCGGAAGGTCAAGCACCAATCAAGGGGAATCTACCTGAGGGTGGGGGAAAGGGGACTGAGACAAAGGTGCAAGAGGGGAGGGGGTGCAGTGACACAGCAAGACCTCAGCCAACTTCAGGGCTCCAGGGCAGAGTGTGAATGGGAATCTGAGCCTGCCACTGTGAAGGCCCAGCAGGCTTCTGAAGGCATCCAAGACAGTAAGAGCTGGGGGCTGGCAACGGTGGTAGGGAGGGCCAGCGGGACAGCCATGCTTGAGGCTGATGAGGGAAGAACAGATGGCTGAACTAGGCACCCATCAGTGTGGAAACAAGGAGGATCGGAGCGGAGAGAAGAGCTTGCAGCTACTGAGTCAGGCAGGCAGAGGCGCTCTACCTGGAGGCCACATTGGTCTGAGTGAGTTATAGAACAAGCATGTAAAATTCCTAGAAAATAACTACTAGAAAGTAAAACGTGACAAAACAATTTTTAAAATGGTGCTCAAGGCTGAAAATGTTAGAAATCTGTTAAGGAAACTGACAAGAGTAACAAGACAAACAGGCACAAAAAAGAGATGGACAGTCCCCGGGAAAATGGCCAGGCAGACAGACACCCTATACAGTGGCCACAGGGCAAATCATAGTCACTCCTCTGCACCAGTGGATGGACAGGTTTGGGGATAAGCCATCTGAATTCCTGTGGAATTGCCTGGTGGGCAAACAGAGCACTATGAAGTCCAGAGTTGAGAGGCCAGGTCAAGGCAGGCAGGGAGAAGCCTGGGGGACCTGTGGGCACCTGCCAGAGGCACACACATTCTCCACCAGAACTGTGCAGTGTTTGCTCAACTGCTCACTCTGCCAAAACCCAGCCCCCTACCTAAATACATGTTTAAAACTACACTGAAACCAGGCCATGAAACATGTACAAAAGTAAAGCTTTTTTTTAAGGTTCTGGCATAAAAATCTACATAATCTCTAGATTATGGCTGCTAATAACTAAGGCCAGTGAGCTGATCCCTAGTACCCAGGTGAGGTAGACTAACGTGACTCGATGCAATTTCTGCAAGTGGCAGGTAGGGATACTAAATGTTTATTCTTTGACCTCATTTCTCAAATACCCCTTTCTTTCTCATCTGATAATCAGATAATTTCAACTTTTTTATTGAAACAGAAAAGGATAGTCACTTCAAATCCAAAATTTCATTTTGAAAACCACCACATTTGTGACTCCTATGAGAAGGCTGTCAGTGAGAAGCAGACCTCGGTGTGGTAAAGAAGGAAATGCAGGAACTTGAGCTCTGACACCTGAATCAGGGTTACAATGTGGTACACACATTAAAACCTACCTTATAACCAGGAAACAGTTAGATATGTTACCAACTGCAAAATAGTCTGCGGCGGTCAAAATGTCAATTCCATGAGGAAAAGTGCCCTGAAGAAATGAAAGTGGAGGAAAAGGTGAGACGCGGCATCAGAAGTCACAGAGCATACAGCGAGGTGGCTGCAGCAGAGCCACGGACCTGGCTCATGGGGCGTCCGCCTGGCCAGACACTGCACTCAGGTAAACTCAGCTTCAAACCCACGTCTCGGCTCCAGATGCTACAAAGTCCTTTCTTTCAAAGATACCGGGTCTCAGTACTGCTAAAGTGGTGGCTCTCTCTGCTCTGGTCCCCCTCGCTGGTCACAAAGACCACAAGAAGGCCCTCATTCCAGAGCCTGTGGAACAGGAAGGCCAACAGAACGAGGCAGGCCCCTGCCCGGCTACAAAACCTGGGTCCACACTGTGCTCTTGGCCAGGCAGAAGGATGAGGTTGGTAAAAGCAGCTTCGGGGTTTATGCTAACCTCTAAGAAGAATCCAGAGAGGTGGCCTGAAGCCCCTAAAATTCAAAGTGAGAGGAAGATCCATCCATCCACATCCACCCAGCATACTCCTGGTGGAGCCCAGGCCCCAAATCTGCACGTTATTACTGGTATCACCTGTGGTAAAAATATTTTAATATCACGCTGGGCGTGGTGGCGCATGCATTTAGTCCCAGCACTTGGGAGGCCAAGGCAGGCAGATCTCTGTGAGTTCAAGGCCAGCCTGGTCTACATAGTGAGTTCCAGGCCAGCTGGGGCTACAGGGAGACCCTGTCTCAAAAAGATAACAACAAAAAATGCTAAAATCGAGAAACCACATAAATAAGTTTCTAAGAAAGTATCAATGTAGAAAACTGTAGCCAATTGCAGGTAATGCCCCAGAGACAGCTCCACCCCAGCAGTAGACAGGTTCCCACTCTGCATAGAGCCAGCACAAGAACAAGCAAAAGCCCAAGAAAAGCAACAGGAACCCACTAGCAGCACCCACACCCAACCCAACACCTAGGTCTCACACAGGAAGGAATTCACTCAAATAGAAGGTTCAGCTCTCTGCAGTCAGCACCTCACAGTATCAGAGGTGCAGTTACTAGAGTGTGCCTGCCTGTGACCAGATCCACTACAGTGTGCGTGCCTGTCACCAGATCCACCAGTGTGTGCATGCCTGTGACCAGATCCACTACAGTGTGCCTGCCTGTGACCAGACCAACTACAGTGTGCGGGCCTGTGACCAGATCTACCAGTGTGTGCGTGCCTGTGACCAGATCCACTACAGTGTGCCTGCCTGTGACCAGATCCACTACAGTGTGCCTGCCTGTGACCAGATCCACTACAGTGTGCGGGCCTGTCACCAGATCTACTACAGTGTGCCTGCCTGTGACCAGATCCACTACAGTATGTGGGCCTGTCACCACATCCACTACAGTGTGCCTGCCTGTGACCAGATCCACTATAGTATGTGTGCCTGTGACCAGATCCAAAGTATGAAACAAAAGAAATAAATCTAGGATTTGAGTCTCAATTTCTACATGGAATTCAGGCTATTTATTACCATGGAGACAATATCAAAAATAGCAGTTTGGTCCTCAATACCTATAAATGCCAATTAGTCTGAGGATATGGTGGACTGCATCACCCATCTGGAGTCCAGAAGAGCTAAAGGCCCAGACCTAACTAAAACACCTGCAGTCAGCTGGCTCCAACTCCCTGACATCTGCCCTCAGGGCTGTCCCAGGTAGAGTGAGGGGAGAAGCCACTGTTCCCAGCCAGGGCTGGAGAATGGCCAGCTGAAGCCACTCCTCCATGTGGCCCACCTGCATTAGCCTTCTCAACACCTTCACCCTTTCCCAAGCTGATCCTGGAGCCTGGTCATTAAAAACCCACAACTCCACCAGAACTCTGAGAGTAAATGCTACCCAGCATACATAAAACATCTCCTTGAGAACACCTGGGAGCAGGGAGCCGAGGAGGCTTATGAGCCAGCAAGTCTTCCCAGAGGTTGGGCTGGAGTGTAGTGCCGGAGGCTCCTGGTTCTGCCGTGATACTTTGTATGATGTGGGAAAAGGAAGTGAAATGTACTGTCTTCTCTATCGAAGGGTTAAATGAGACAGAGGAGTTCCATCTTTAGAGAAATGTGTAAAGATGCCATTTGGCAAGAAACCCTCCTGAGTCATCACTTTTCTGAGGTCAAAATATATGCTCAAATTTCATTTTCCCTAGCAACTGCATGGTTCTGAAATAGCCAATCAAGTAAAAATGTGAGGCCAAGCTCTGGCCACTCTGAGTGAGGCATAGGACTCCTTGTATTAGGGTTAAAAGCCCAGCAGGGCCCCCACTAGGTGTGCTTGCTTGCTGGATTTAAAGTGGCTTTGCACCCTTCTACAGAAATACTTTGGATATGTGGTTATTTATCAAGACTCCAGACCCATTCCTAACAACGGGAAGGAAACCACAGCACGGGCAAAAGGGCTGCAGCTTGGTTCACAGGGAGACAGCAGCATGTGACTGGGCAAGCAGGTGGAAGTCCATGCTCATGGCAACCCAGGGCCGGGTGCCACTGAGGAGGAGGACAGTAGAGCTGGGCTGGGCTCAGCAGTCCCCACTTTATACAACAAGAACAGAATAGGCAAGAGTCTAAGGCTTTGCCTGGTCAGGTAGCTGACCTTTCCTCCCCGACAGGAACCTCAGCACTCGCGCCTCAACTTTCTCACCTGCACAAAGGGTCGCACCAAGCCTGGCCAAGCCACCCACACAGAGCTGTGACCTAGCAGCACTCCAAGCAGCAGCAGAGCTTTGCACCTCAATTCTGCCTGGTTCTAGAAGTGGCAGCTGCCCACAGGTTAAACCTAACCTGCTAAGGCCCCAGGGTATAGAAAGGGGACAGAGTACATGCCCTTCCTCCCCCTTGGAAAGCTTACCCACCCAGCTACTTGGGAGTCTTGGGCAGGGGGCAGGAGGAAAGCGTCTCATCATTTCTGGCAACAAGATCTTCCTCTCTAGCACAGCAGAGCCCCAGGTCTGAATGAAGGGGTCAGTCTCCTTGGGTCGCTGGGCAGCCTACTGCCTCCTGGACTACCCTAGTATCCTCCACCACAGGTACAATCTAGCCATCTTCTTGGTCTTCCATCTTCAGGCTCTCTCATCTAAAGCATAGCCTTTCTGGCCAAGCCCTGACTCCGTCATTCTTCATAAGCAGCTGACTCTAAGCCAAATGGCAGGGCCTGGCTCCACCCTTCTTTCTTCCTCACCTGCAGCACTACAAGCAACCATGGCCACATGCTGACACGAAACCCCAGAGCTATAATTTTCAGCTGGTTTCTGTCAGGGGCCCTCCTCCCTGCTCACAATCATCTTGACTGCTGCCACCTGATCCAGGTCCTGGCCCCTCTTGAGCTTCCTGCCAGCCTGGCCACATGCCCCAGTATGCCAGCCTCTCAACCATGAATGAATCCAGACCCCACTTTTCAGGCAGAGCTGGCCTCTGACAGGCCTCCAAGTAGGAGGACATGACGCAGGCAGAGATGGGGTTAAGGATTCTGGAACATATGGCCAGAATTTATTCCAACGGAGCCTGCTGTCATCCCACATGGGCTAGGAAAGAGCCAGGCCTCCAGGGTCCAGGAACCCACTTGGTCCCTAACACACATGCAACCCTCAACAATGCATGAAGCAAAATCTTAACCTGTTAAAACACCCACACACAGGGTCTCCTGAAAGGCACAGGGGTCAGTGCTCCCTGGTCACACGATGGTGAATCCAGGGTCAGAGTCGTCATGTTTACTAGCTGGCTGAGGTACGGTTCACTCTTAACCCACACCCAACAATGCGAGAAGATGTGAAGCTCAGGCTTTCAAGATTCCCACCTCCAAACCTACAGGAAGCTCCTGGAATGGAGGTTTATAAAGTGGCCATACCTGTCTCCCCACGTTCTCCTGGAAGGCAGCCTGAGGAACAGAAAGAGCAAACAGAGCAGGTGAGTGAGTTTTGCTTCTGCTAAACATCAGAAGGCAAATTCAAAATAAACACAGACCAGTATAAATGACCCATGGCTTTACTTTTTGAATAAAAGTCCTCTTTGTTGGCTGAACAGGGCCCGGAGGGTAGTTTGTCACTGTTTTTATGTCCTGGTGCTCTTTAAAACCACAGTTTAAGAATTCAGTTTATAAAACGAGACACATCCTGAAGGCCGCCTTTCACCAGGAATCTTCACACCAGAGCCCACACGAAGGCCCCAGAGCACTATGCTGAGAGCAAGCCACACAGCTTGGTAAATAAAAGTCAACCCTGGAACACTCACAGGTTAAGAACTCTATCTTAAGAGCACACTGCCAACCTTAACACCCCAGGGCTGCCTCCTGGAGGGCACACACCTTTCTCCAACCAGATCCCTGAGCCACCCGAGTCCTGTATGCCAGGCACAGATCAGGGACTGAAAATGTCCCACTGTGCTTGAAGAGAATTAAGCACTTCTAGATAAGCCTTGTCATATGAACGCTTTACTCCTGGTGGCTCCCTTTTCTGGCCTTTCACACTGTCCTGCTTAAGTCAACTAAGATGACAATGACACTTCGTGTCTAGTTTATCACCCAGTGTGGTCTTAGATGCTCCCCAAAGAGTCCATAGCTGAGCTCTAACCAGGACTAGAAATAGCTACAGACAGCAGCTTCACGTGGAGAGCTGGAATAGAGTGGTACACAGCCATGCTACATGAACTATCCCAGCAAGCAGAGGCACGAGACACTCCAACTTGGGCCAGGGGACTTCCTGAGAACACCCATGGATGTGCAGAAAGAAAACGCCCGAGGTGCAGGGCCCCAAGTCTATGGCCAACCCCACAGAACCTGTAAGCACTGGAACAAAGATGTGGGGCATCTCCAGGGCAGGGCCTCATAGTGGAGCAGTGATGTACCTGAGGTGGCTCTCAGGAGCTCCTAAACAGGGGAAACAAGGTACGGTTTGCTGCTCACCACTGTGTAACTTTTACTACCAATTCTTAAAGAAACACCACAAAAGGCAATGTAAAAGAGATATGATGTCAACTTAAATACCACATCACCAAAACAGGTAAAAGTAATACAAGATTTATACTGAAACAATCTTGGAAAACGAGGCTAGGGAACCAGCCCTACCCATTATGAAGACTGACCAAATGGACATCACCTTGGAGTATGCTGTTGGCACAGACAAAAACCACAAGAATGCCAGACAGGGGGACAGGTGTTCACAGCCTTTGCACCAAAAGTATCTCCCTGAAGAAACAGATGAACAAGAACAAACCCTCATCTGAGTGGAAGACTCCTGACTGTGGAGATGCTGTTATTGGGGATGAAAACAGCCACAGAGGGGAAGGTTCACAGGGACACACCCGGAGTAAAGGACAGACATCCAGAACACATAGAGAACTCTCAAAGCTAAACAATAAAAACTGATTAAACAATGGCCAAGACTTGAACAGACCCATCTTCCCCAGGAGGACACACAACAGACTCAACATCACCAGAGAAATGGAAATTACAACCACATACTCACCAGCAAGAGCAGAACAGCAGTGTGGCCAGGGAGCACACACAGCCAGGGAGCACACAAAGGGAGCACACACAGCCAGGGAGCACGCACAGCCAGGGAGGACACACAGCCAGGGAGGACACACAGCCAGGGAGGACACACAGCCAGGGAGCACACACAGCCAGGGAGGACACACAGCCAGGGAGCACACACAGCCAGGGAGGACACACAGCCAGGGAGCACACACAGCCAGGGAGGACACACAGCCAGGGAGCACACACAGCCAGGGAGGACACACAGCCAGGGAGCACACACAGCCAGGGAGGACACACAGCCAGGGAGCACACACAGCCAGGGAGGACACACAGCCAGGGAGCACACACAGCCAGGGAGCACACACAGCCAGGGAGGACACACAGCCCACACACAGCCAGGGAGAACACAGAGAGAGCATGCACAGTGGGGGGTGGGGGGAGACAGTTGGTGGTGCCTGGGAAGACAGGACCCAGCAACTATCATCTTGGCATGTGCCCCAGAGAAACAGAAACTACGCTCACACAAAAACCTTTGTGAGAATGTTTGCAATAATCCTAAGCCAACAGCCACCCAGATGCCCTCTGATGATGAATGGCTGGACAAATCAGGGCTCAACCAGTGCACAGCCCCATTCACAGTAGATGGCAATGGAGAGGAACCACAACATGAAGTTTTAACATAAAATGTTGTATATCAGACTTGCAGTTGCTGCCTATTGGGTAACTATGAAGCAAAACTGCAGCAACCTCCCAAGAAATGACTGGTTTCCTAACACAGAACACAAAATAGGGGCCACTTGGGGATGCAGACAACCTCCACTTGTCTCTCATGACAGGTTTAAAGGACTCTGGGCAGGGGCTTGCATTCTGATTGTCTCTCAGTGCAGATGCAAGCAGGCCATGAGCAGCCATGAAAAACCGCAGGCCCCTGAGCCAGAAGACCTCAACTATCACCTGACCAGAGCTCAGCTGCACTGGCAAAGCTGGACTTGCTGAGCTCTCCATGGTAAGGCTTCACTGCTGACTACCCAATGTGCTGGGTGCCATGCCAGGCATGTGACTGAGGCAGCAGTGGGCACGCAGGCACTGAGCACACAAGGCCTGAGGGTACATCTGATGCAGTGCAGCCAGAGGCCATCAGCCAAATATCGGACAGAAACTCCACCACCTGTGACAGGCATCAGAAAAGACAGGGACCACTGTGATATCAAAGAGGAAGGCAGCTAGGGCCTCTAATAATACCAAATCACTGTCCTTGTCAACTCAGAGGACAGGACAAAGCCCTGACTGGATAAACAAGAAGGCCAGGCAGATCTGTGCTATGTGGACACAGTAGAAAACCCTGGAAAACATAACAGGGATATTATCCCCACTAGGTAACACAGGTTTGCACAGTAAAAGCCCAGTGCCAGGAATGGACTCCCTCTCGTGAAGCTGCTGACCAGGGTTCCCACAGACCCTCAATACTGGTTGTTGCCCATGCTCTGTTACACCCCACTCCCCAAAAGCTTCATAGTAAGACCTTACTGCTGAAGACACTACATACATGAACTGTATGAACAAGGAGAAATCAAGCTGGTGCTGAATTCAAAACCTCATCTCTGTCTAGCTTTCATAGTGCTGAAAGGTGCTATGCATGGTACCTGGAAAGAAAATTTAGCATGAACATTACCCAGCTGTGAATCCTGCAAACTACAACAATTGGCCTGGCAAGATATGCCCACCAGTGTAATAGTGGCACAAATACAGGACTAACCAACTACTTTCTAACTGGATTTAAGTTTGCTTCATAGGATGGAACCCATGCCTGACAGTGATATCAGGTCTAGGAACCTCAAGCTAGACAGTCCACGGGCCATGGAAGAAAGCCTATTCTGCTGAATAGACATAGTATTAAACTGACTTCTAATGATTTATTATTATACCCATAGATTTATGCATCTCTCAACTCTTCACAGAGAAACAACCTTGGAAAGCACATGGTGATCAAGACAGACAACCACAACTGACCAACATGCGGAGAACAAGAGGCTGCAGAGTGCTCATCCCTGAATAGGAAGGAGCCTATCAAACCTCTGCCTCCCAAGGTCAGGGATCATATGGAAGACAGGGCGAAAGACTGTGACAGCCAGAAGAGGTAGTGACCACAAGGAAACAGTTTTCCAGACAGCTGGGTAGTTGCTAAAGTATGGACAAATCCCACATAAGCTCAAAACAGACAAAAAAAATCCCTTTACAGCCCTGAGGAAGTAGTTAAGAAACCCAACCCTACCTGAGAAACTTTTGGCAACCAAAGGCTGCTGGGAAGGGGAGATTCAGTCTCATTTAAGGACAGGACTCTTGGTAGGTTGACCTGGCTCCAGTGGATGAAACACACCAAACAGCATTTAGAGATACAAATCTGACTCTATAGGCCTTTGTGTGTGTGTGTGTGTGTGTGTGTGTGTGTGTGTGTGTGTGTGTGTGTATGTGAACAGAAATTTGGGATTTGGTGGGAGGTTAGTAAGGGGGGGTTGCAGATACAGGAGGGGATCTAAATATGATCAAAATATAGTGTATAAATTTTTCAGAAATTCAATAAAGGGGCTGGAGGGATGGCTCAGCAGTTAAAAACATTGACTGTTCTTGCAGAAGACCCAGGTTTGAATCCCAGTACCCACATGGCAGCTAACAATAGTCCATAACTCCAGTTCTGGGGGATCTGATGGCCTCTTCTGTCCTCCTTAAGCACTGAACAACACAGGTGCACTCACATACATGCAGGCAATATATGCATACAAATAAAAATAATAAAAATTTTAAAAAATTTGCCAGGTATGATGGTGCAGGCTTCTAATCCCAGCACTTAGGAGGCAGATGCAGGTGGATCTCCATGAGTTCGAGGCCAGCCTGGTCTACCTAGTAAGTTCCAGGACAGCTGGGGCTACAAGGAGACCCTGTCTCAAAAAAGACCAAAAAAAAAATTTTTTTTGAATAAAAAAATTAATACAGGCCGGGCATGGTGGCGCATGCCTTTAATCCCAGCACTCAGGAGACAGAGGCAGGCGGATCTCTGTGAGTTCGAGGCCAGCCTGGTCTACATAGTGAGTTCCAGGTCAGCTGGGGCTACAGGGAGACCCTGTCTCAAAAAGACTAGAAAAAAAAAAAAAAGAAAATTTAATACAAACAAACTCCGATGGGGTCACTACAAATACTACCAGATAAAGTAGAAATGGTATCCATCTCTTCAAAGCTCTGGCACAAAAACAGAAGAGTGGGAATAATTCCCCATCTCTGTGGGATCAGCTCACCCTCAGTCCAACTGCAGTCAGAAATACCTGAACAAAAGAAAACTGCAGACCAATAACTCCACCAGACTCAGAAATTCAGGAGACATTGACAAACTGACTCCAACATAAAGAATGGACTGTATATAAGTGAAAATTAGACCAAAAATGCAAGGTCAGTTCAGTCTGCTATGCCACATTAACAGAAGAAAGGACAAAGACCACCTTATTGCCTCAAAACCAAATACCTACTCATGGTTTTAAAACAAATAAAATGAAACCAGCAGTAGGCAGGAACACCTTGGCCTGCTGGAACAGAAGCTCCTGCCAGAATGCACAGCAGGGCAACTCTACTTTTCCCAGCTCCATTCTGCTGTCCTACCTCAGAGTTTCCTCTCCCTCCTCCCTACTCTAAGGCTTGGCTCCTATCCACTCTCCTAGACACCCACATCCAGGTCACTGCCACTAAGCCACGCCCCCTCCTCTTTTGGACACCAGGTGGCACTAACAAACTCCACCTGGGTGCCTGCCCCCAGGCCCACGTGGCCTGGCCTTTTCCTCACTGTGTAAAATTCCAGCTGTGGCAGCACTTGGGGGTCCTGTGCCTAGGTTAAAGCCCAGAATTTAGCACTGCAGAGCTTGAACCATGGGAACTCCCAGCACCAATCAACGCCTCACTGCCAGCAGCAAATCTCACATCGCACTCTCTCAGATGCTTCCCCTCAGCTCCTGAGGTCTACAAATGTGTTTACCTGCTGGCTTGTCCATAAGGGCAAGACCTATCCATAGCCTACCAAGGCATCTGAGCACTCCTGACAGAGCCCAGTTTTATCATTCCCCTGAACCAGTCTCAATCACTGATCTCAGCAGTTAGGAAGTACAGGGCCAGCCCCAGCTGCAATGTCCAGAAGGCAACTCCGGGAAGACCTCTCCTAATTGTTTCTCCCCTTTCCTGTCCTTGGGGTCCCCCAAACTCAGGCCTCGCCATGACCAGATAGGGAAAGCACAGGTGGGTGAAGGAGGCAGCTCTGGTCAACATCTCTACAGGTACCCAGAGTTGCTCAAGCTCCTTCTGTCCTCAAAGCCAGGCTGTCAGGAGACCCAGGTGATCAAGCTCAAAACACAAGGCCCACTTGCAGCTGCAAGGCCAAGGCCCATTCAGTGAGGTCCCCGCCAGTACAGCCAGGACAGCAGAGCTAACCGAGTGCAAAATCTCCAGTGATCTGTCCTGCCGTTCCCTGGAGCAGCCATGCCAGCCAGGTTGCCTCACAGTCACAGATTAACTTTCTTTTCTGCAAGACTCGGGCTGCCCTGAGCTCAGTCTGGTTACTGGGCAGCAGCGTGGTCCCTGTGTCTGCTCAAAGACACCCACCACAGCTGGCTGCATCTCTTTCAGCAGCACTGGACGGAGGCCTTGAATCCTGACCTCCCAAGAATCCCAGAGCAAACGCCACACCTGCTCTGTGATGGCCCTGCTTTCCTCGGTTCTTTCACCCGATCTCCTTGCTACCAGAGTTACAGGAGCACCCAGGGATGGGGTATGGCCATGCCAGGAAGACAGGCCCACGCAGAGGACATGGACAAAGTTATGCCCCACTTCTAGGAGTGGAATGTACTGAAACAATGAAACTCACAGAGGCTGCTCTTCTGCAGTTCACATTCCGGTCAAACACAGCGGCAATGATCAGAGCACTGTACAAACAAGGAAAATAATGAATTAAAATGAAATATGCAGGTGCTGCATAAAACAGTAAACTGCTTACCTTGCAAGCATAAGATTCTGAGTTCAAATCCCAGACCCCACACAAATGTGTTGGTGTGGTAGCACAGGCCTATAATCCCAGCGCTAGGGAGATAAGGCAGGAGGCTCCCTGGCCAGCCAGTCTAGCCTAACTGGTGAGCACCAGGCTGAGACCTTGCTTCAAAGGAGGTGGACAGTGTTCCTCAAGACTACACCTGAAACCGTCCTCTGGCCTCTACACACACAGGCACCAGCACACACATGGGTATGACACATTTAAAAAGGAAAAATGCAAAGTAACCAAGACCACATGACATTCCATTGCTCACTCACAGCTCACTCACAGACAGCGGGAAGCTCAAGGCTCCTGGAGCCTACTACAGATTTGTGTGACCTCTGAGACATCAAGCATTCTGGCCCCAGTCCTAACAAATGCCTCAGGATGATACACACTAGACCTCCAGGGCCTTGGGGCACAATACCCTTGACCTGCCGGGGTCATAGGTACTCAACAAATTGCAAAGACAATTGGTGCCAAGGACAGGAACTGGCAGCAATCAAAAGGACATGATTTGGGTATCTGACACCAGTGTTCTTGGATGACAGCTATCCATGCCTTCCAGACCACAGAGAGCAAGCTGCAGGCTGCTTGCCCCTTTGGAAACACAGGGGCACAATAGTTTCAACATCCCACACAGGTTCACCCCAGTGTCAGGCATGTTCATATGGATACTGCCTCCACCTGAAACTCAGAGATGGGCCATGGGCCACTATAAGGTTTATATGAGGTCAAAAGAATAGAGACCACATGGAAGGCAGCTGCTAGGTCTCAATGCTGCCAGAGGCAGTGACCCCACACCAAGCTCTTAGGACACTCAACAGGCTTCAATTAAGTCTCTTTCTTAGATAACAAACCTTACTGTGGTAAGAATGCAGAAAGTTGCTTCTTTCCCACATCCACCTGAGTCTCTTCTATGGCTCCCGCCCAATGGGGAGCATTTCCCAGGGAAGCATTTCCCCTCTGGGCTTTCTCTGCTTGATCCTCACATCCCTGAGTCACAGGCATAGTCTCAGGAGATAGCAGAAGGGAAACCTAAGAACCAAGGACCAGCCAAGTCTTTAGGGCTACAACTCAGGTTGAGTCCCTGGATTCTCAGCTTCTCCAGGCATGTAGGGACATTATTCCAGGTCCAGGAGCTGTGAGGCCACAAATCTGCCTTGCAAACTCCTGCATTCTGAGAACACCATTTCCTATGGACCCCAGGCAGGGACAAGCAGCCTCTATGGATGGACTGGGGCCCTGCACTCAATGTAAGGAAGACTTAGGAGACAGGGATATCTGGCGTCGTGGACTCCAACAACCAACCCAGTGGAAGGAGCCAGGTTCTTGGGAATGGGGGGATCCCCACTCCCAGGACAGTGGACGATTGGTAGGCTTCAGGGACCAGAAATGCTCAATAAGAACAAAGGACGGCAAGATGGCTTAGCAGGTAAAGGCATCTGCTACCGAGCCTGATGACCTGAGTTCAGTCCCTAGGTGCCAAATGGCAGAAGAACTAACACCAGAAAGGTGTCCCCCAATTTCCATACAAGTGCCCACAAACACGTGCACAGGCATGCACAAAATAAATTAAAATTTTTTTTTAATTTGAGAATTTTATACATGCATATAAGGTGTTTTGATCAAATCCATGCCTGCTCCCTCCCCTCTAACTCCTCCTATATCTCCCCATCACTTTTTTCTGATGACTTCATGTGTTTTTTTTTTTAATGGGGCTTTTTGCTATTCTAACATTATCCACTCTGAAGAGGTAACCATAAAATCTTTTAGGGATTAGACAAAAGCTTCCAAATACTTTCAACATTTTTAGCCTTGGGAACAGAGTATGTTGCTAAGAGGCCCAAGGACATTTTGAATTTTAGCCAAGAAACTGGCTACTTTCCTTTGGGGTCTTTTTACCCTAACTGCCTAGCCAATTCCTACCTCCTATTCTTATCACACCATCCTTTGACCAGGTTACCCAACTGGCAGACAGGGGATCAGGACAACTCTGGCTTCCTCCATGCTGAACAGGGACTCAGGGTAAGGCAACTGGGGTACCCCTTCAGTGGGTCTTTCTAAAAGACTCCAAAATTGCATAACACTTATCTGTGGGGAGAAAAGGAAGTCCTCAACTGGTAAATAAGAGATGTGAAGGAGAAGTAAAGGCAAGAGTAGTTAGCATTATAAGTTCTAGACGGGGAACCAGAAAAAAGTCAGAACAGGGCAAATTTCAAATGTTCATATCAGAGTCCATTGGAATTTCTTGACAAGGGCTTCCAAAAGCATCCCTCTATTGGGTTCCTCCTCATTTTCCTTTTCTCTGCCAAGGCTGGACTCTAGAGTGATGGATTCAGGATTTTCTGTCAGGCATTTTGGTAGCTGTTGGAGTGGTTAGAATCAGTGTCAGTTCCCTCTCAAAGGCTTCCAGATTAGGGGGAGAAAACAAATTTATCTATCACTTTAGAACAATAGCGGGTTGTCTCCCTTAGCTACAGGTGGGCACTACAGACCAAGCATTTGAAGTCTTACATCTGAGCAGCACTTTCTGGTTAGGAAAAAAATCACCAATGAAAAATAACTGTCTAAACTTTTTATATGGACTTAAGCCATAATCCCTTGAACTCTTAAATATACTGATGACTTTAATCTTTGGTTATACTTTCCTTGTGGGTGTTTAAGACCATACAGTTGGCCCAAATAAATCAATTTATTTTTACACTTAAGGTCATTTGAGGATCTTTTCCTCAGGGGTCACATGGGCTTGGGAGGAGCTCCTGGCTCCTTTCTTATACCAGCTCCATCTATGTGAAGATAAGTCAAAGGTCCTGCTCAACCATGGCTGGCTTCACTTGGAAGCATGGATGAGATGTTTCCTCTGAGTAGACCCTCCTCTTTGTAGATTGGACACTGGTTCAAGTCCATCTGGTGGGGGTCTCCATGGCAGAGGACAGGTGACTCGCCACAGTTACAGGACATTCTGAGAGATATTCCATAGTCCCCGGGAACTTAGTTATCTTGGAGGGCAAGGAGCAAAAACTGTCCCTTAAGTCCCTCTGACCAGATTAGCATAGGCCTCAAAGAATGGCTGTTAAATATCCAAGAAGGTTATTTCCACCAGTCTGGTACTTTTAATTACCATGTGCTATGTAGATAAAGCTTGCGTAAAAAAAACAAATGTTCTGAAAAAAAAACAAACCTTGATTAGGTATATATTTTGTTCCTTAAACTAGCTGACTAAACTATGACCTTAGAAATCTTAAGATTATGTGTATATTATTTTTGTCTTATCCGTTATATACCACAACAAACCTACATAGACCTTCATCACTTGCTTAGACCTTTTCATTTTTTTCTATTTTGAAAACTATCTACATTCCCATATCCTTTTAACATCTTTTATTTCTTTATTATTATTATTTTGGTCTTTTTGAGACAGGGTCTCCCTGTAGCCCCAACTGTCCTGGAACTCACTGTGTAGACCAGGCTGGCCTTGAACTCACAGAGATCCACCTGCCTCTGCCTCCCAAGTGCTGGGATTAAAGGCATGTGCCACCACGCCTGGCTCATTTTCTCCTTTTTTTAATAATTATGAGACATAATAGCATTAACAAATAAATTTTCCATCTATTGCAAGTTTTCCTGGAGATATTAAGCAATGCTTATTCCCTTTTAAGGGTCTAGTATAAAGCCAATTTTTGATTAAAGGTTTACTGGGGAACCAATGAATTTACTGAGCTTACTCACAGAGATGACTGAGGGGTTGCTGAGGTGTATGAAGAATGACCTGAGGGTGTGCACACTGGAAGACCTTTACCCAGCATGGGTCAAGCCTTCTCCTCCTAGCCTTCCCCAAATCCAGGAAACTATGTGTGATTAGGGCCAAATTACGTACAGGTAGCTGGGAAGAGTGGCTGGGTACTCAGGTGAGGGTCCAGTAACTCTGGCTTGCCCCTCCTTTTAATGAAGGAGCACAACAAACAAGCTGAATTGTGACGATGTTTAGCGATCAGGCACAGCTGAAGTCGTGATGATGGTAGTTATTTCATGCAGAAGGGACTGCTGTATAGCATCATCTTATTAAAAGGACCTGGAATTTTAAAGGATTTCGGGCTAGGATCCACAAATGAGGGAGAACATGCGTCTTTTGTTTTTCTCAGTCTGTGTTACTTCACTTAGTATAACAGTCTCTAGATCCATCCATTTACCCGCAAATTTCATGATTTCGGCTTTCTTTACTGCTGACTAGAAATCCATAGTGTAAATATACCACATCTTTGTTAACCACTCGTCAGTTGAGGGACACTTAGGTTGACTCCATCTCTTAGCTGTTGTGAAAAGAGCAGCAACAAACATGGATGTACAAGAGTCTCTACAATAGGATGGGTCCTTTCGGTATATGCCAAGGATTGGTATAACCAGGTCATATGGTAGGTTCATTTTTAGTTTTTTAAGAGTTCTCCACACTGTTTTCCATAGAGGTTGCACGAGTTTGCAATCCACCAGCAGTGAATGAGCATTCCCCTTTCTCCACATCCTCACCAGCATTTGGTATCATTTGTTCTCTTGATCCTGGCCAGTCTGATTGGGGTAAGGTGATACCTTAGGGTGGTTTTAAGTTGCATTTCCCTAATTACTAAGGATGTTGAACACTTGAGATGTTTCTTAGCCATCTTTATTTCTTCCTGTGAGAACTGTTTAGATCTTTGGCCCGTCTTTTCACTGGGTCATTTGGTTTCTCGCTTCTTTTTGAGTTCTTTATATATTCTGGATGTTAAACCTCTGTCAGATGTGTTACTGGTGATTTTTTTCCCACTCTGTGGGTTTTCCCTTCACTTTTTTTATTGTTTCTTCTGCTGTACAGAAGCTTTTAGTTTAATGAGGTCCCACTTGTTGATTGCTGATCTTAAT